AGAGAGAGAGAGAGAGAGAGAGAGAGAGAGAGAGAGAGAGAGAGAGAGACGGATGGATGGATGGATGAACGGACGAACAGACGGACGGACGGACGGACAGACAGACAGAGACTTCCCAACCATCACTTATTCCATGCTTTCATGAATGACAAATAGAATCAACATTCTCAAAAAAGTGAAAGGAGACTTCATCAGCCTTTTCAACATGCAAAAGGAGAGTTAGCCAGGAGCCGATAACATACCGAGAGTGGAAACTCAGTTGCGAGAACACTTGCTTGCTTGGAAGATACAATTTGATCATTTGCGCCAGCCACAATCATCACTGGAAGTGATGAAATCGACCTCAACATTGCTGCTGTGCTTGCCTTATCTCCATACGCCGGCAACCTCCCCACCTCACCAAGGGCACTATCCCATCCCTCAACCCGTAATGGAACCTGAAGCGTGTGCAATCATCAACAACGTCGTCGTCATTACTACAGCACGTAATACGTGGAAGGAATCAACAACCTGTCACATCCACTGTCTCTCTGTTAAGTTAACTGTGAAGTCAAAATGGAGAGATGGTTACCTTGCCAAGGGACGTTACGTTGCACACATCTGATAGTTATATGCATGCATGAATGGCAATGGTTCAAACCTCAAGACAAAAGCATGGTCCCCGAAGGAGGGCGTACTCACACTACCGTCTTCACCCAAATAAAACGCCCGGTCATTATAGCTGTATTTGGGGAAACTTCCAGTCTATATACAGTGCTAACGACTGGCCGTTCTATTCTGGTGACGACGGTAGCTCTATCTTAAATGTATCTGACCGCATTTGCGGCCATACCTGGATGTGTCTGACAGTAATTACATCCAGAAACAAGTAAAGAAGTCCTAGTGTGAGTATGCCCTGAGAGTCTGAGACACACACACACACACACACACACACACACACACACACACACACACACACACACACACACACACACACACACACAGCAAAACAACAACAAGAGTGGATGCTTGCGCCTGCGGATAGTCTACCTTTTCTTGTCTTTGTTTAAACCACCAGTACTTCCTGTACTTCCTAAACGCGCGGCTTGCATGCAGCCAGCCATTGCTACAGTGCCACGACGTTTCCACTTGAATGAACTTAGTCCAGCGCCCCGGGCCCGTTCATCCCAGCACATCGCGACTCGCACTTATGGAAGCGCTGGTGGTTCAAGAGCTCAGTCTACATTATCTGCAAACGCACGAAAAGATGGCTGACCACATTCTCAAGTAAAAATTTTAAATTTCCCTATTCATTTACAGACCTTGCTAGAGAGAGGCTCTCGCAAAATGCCACTCGTTTCTTTTTTTCGAATTTTTCCCCCCGACGCACTAACTACATAACCGGCCAGTCGGTCGGGGCAGCCTCTTGCAGCCTGGGCAGCCTGGCCAGTAAGGTAGTTATGTAGCGAGATAGTAGCCCTGCAGGGAAAGTCCCAGGCAAGGGACCAAAGAAAAACAAACAAAATTCGGAGAAACTTCCGAGAAAGACATATGTTGTGTAGAATTGCAAAACCAAACAACCTTTTTTTTTTTTTTTTTTGTCTACATTCTACTCTCGATTTCACCTTTCACAGTTTCACTACCTATCTACCACTGCTCCTAAGCGTATACAGGGGACCCCTGCAAGCATAGCTAGTAGCTACCTATCACAATCAAGCGGATACGTATTGCCCCCCACCCTAATTGGCGGTGGTCAGGGAGTACGGTGCCCCCCCCCCCGTGGCTAACACAAGGACCGAGCATTTTGTCAGTTGTTGCCCCTCCCATCTACTTCCCCTGCCCCCATCTAAGTAACAGCAGTGTCTATGGCCAGCACTCATACACCAGACACAAATCTCTTCTCCCGACCGCGCCCCCCCCCTATACAAAGACACACCCACACACGCGCGTGCGAGGCGGCAGACAACTTTCGGGTGGGGTTTACTCCCAAAGGAAACAGTAAATTAAAAGTTGAAAAAAAGAAAAAAAGAAAAAGAAAAAGAAATTATGCCATACCCCTTCAAAGTTTATACCACCCAGACCCCTCTGGCAATACAGTACCAAATCCAGAGATAAGGGGCCTTGCACCACTACCCAACATTCTACATGCATTTGGACCTTATCCAAGCCAGGTGCATTTTGACAAGTGCAACATTTTTGAATGTATCGGGACGATCAAGAGGTCCAGATACATGTAGAGTGTTGAGTAGCGGAGCAGGGTCCAAGGTAAGATTTGCGCAGATCTAGGCAGGCACAGGAATGCACCACCATGAATTTTAAAGACGAAAAAACAAAAATAAAAAACTACCTCATTTTGTTTCTGCGCAGGTGACCCAGGAGCTCGGTCCGCGGCTTTCTGGGCCTAAGTGCCTGGCTGGGCACCCAGGTCCCAGTTGCCAGCCAGGCGACTTATGTAGACCACGCTGCTAATGCTTTGGGAGGTCCTTCACCGTCACACACACCCATAGCCCAGATTTTGTCCTGACAAAAGCAACAAGATGGGAAGCGAGAAAAAGTGGCGAAAAGAATAAAGACAAGAGCAATCCGAGCAGAGCGGGGGCAACTTCCACACCTTGTAATGCTTCAGAACCTCAGGGGTCAGCTTTCGAGCATCATACCAAGCCCGTCGGTTCGCCACTTCTCCAATCTCGGATCGGAGAAGGGGACGGAGCATTCGTCTCCCCAGAGACGTCTGCAAAAGGACGCGGGCAAAGGTTGGCATAACTCCTTGTACTAGACTTGTGTCCAGCAACACCAGCCCTTTAACCTCCACCTGCACAAATACGACACGCGAACGCCCGAGTCAACCAACCCCAGTGTTCCGTTAGCTTACGTCAACCTGTGACATGTGTCTCATCAAGCCGGGTTGGTTCTAAACATGGCATTCTAAGACGCTAACTCCACCCCCGCATCCGGGGGGTGGGGGCGTGAATTTATCCACAATTCAAGCGCATTGCGATCTCTTTCTCGCAGTTTGTTGGATTCAGTTCTGTCAACAAAGTCAAGGTCAACGCTCTCATAAATAGATCACCAAATTTGAAATTACCATCGAAGTTGCACACGACTGTATTCCGACACCACCCAGAATGGACCGGGGCTAGGATCGAGATACCATCTTTTGACGTCTGGATCTGGCGTGGGACCTGCGGGGTGTCCCAAAGAAAATTGTTCTTACGAACTTGATCACGTTTGTTTTTTTTTTCTTTTAATCAAGTTTTAAGACTTTTTTAAAGTTTTTTTCTAATAAGATTCCTCCAAAATGCGTTCTTAACCTAGGCCGTTTTCCCGTGCGCGCGGGCACCCAAGCTGTGCCCGGAAACGCGCCCGGGTGACCGCCCGGGCATGACCCCCGGGCAGGGTCCCGGGGAGCCCCAGCGCCAAAAAAAAAAAAAAAAAAAAGATATTAAAAAAAAGTTTAACCTAATAAATCTGGAAAAAAATAATTATGTTGTGTAGAATTGCAATACAAACAACTTTTGGCTGAGGGTCACATCAGAATTCCTCATGGAACTGAAGATAAAAAAAGACAATAACGGAATCACACCAAGGCACCCCCCTTTAAACCCCTTTAGCCCCTTGAAAACTAATATATACCCCCCTTGCCCCCCCCTTTAAAGCCAACACTCGAAAAAAGAAAGAGCCGGGATTTGGGCTCCGCTCTGAGAGCACAGAAAACCCCCACCGCCAAACTTTTTTATTTTTATTTTTCTATTTTTATCCCATGCCCGGGCATCCCGGGCGTCAGACCCCCCCGGGCATCATGCCCGGGTGACCGGCCGGTCATGAAAATCTTCCTGGTTCTTAATTCCTTCAAGTTCTTATTGCAATGCTACATGTTTTCTGAACTTTTTCCTTTGCAGAGCTTTCTGGCTTCTTTTGAACAATGGATTTTTTTCATGGTTATCAACCGGACGTCCGGATCGGGATCCAGACGGTCCGGTCTGGATGTCCGGATCCTGTGTCCGGTTTGAGGGGTCCGGTTGGGCCCCATTTCGAGAAAATTGATTTTTTGTTTTGGGGTCCCCACGCAATTTTCCAATGCCTGGTGGACACCCGAAAATTGTTGCCGCAGTTTTTGGTGCAACCTTGGGCCAACCGGAGACCGGCCCTGAAGGGCCTGTACTTGCAATCTTGGGTGAGCTTCAGTGGGCCAAGGAGAATCGGTTGTGTGTGTGTGTGTGTGTGTGTGTGTGTGTGTGTGTGTGTGTGTGTGTGTGTGTGTGTGTGTGTTGTCAAATTTGCTATACACTAGAAAAAAAGCATGACTGTGCCAGACTGTTTCGTCGGACTTTCACCGACTTATCAGGAGGTTGAACCCCGACAGTCTGTGCAGGATTCATTTGACTGATGGATAAGGACTCACAACATCGCCCAGAGTTAGCGACACCCCTGAGAAAAGTGGTCTGTGTGTGTGTGTGTGTGTGTGTGTGTGTGTGTGTGTGTGCACGACACTGTGTGTGTATGTGAGTGTGTTCAAAATAAGTCGGATAATACAGCTACAGCAGCGTGTCTGTTCTTTTTTTTTTTTTTTTTTTTTAATCTGGACATCCGGACCTGGTCATTCATAACCGACCCGTCCGGTTCCGTATGTCCGGTTGTCCGGATCGATGTCCGGATTACCGGACGTCCGGATTAATCCAGACATGGGTCCGGGCCCGGTGTCCGGTGTCTGGATGTCCGGGTCCGGGGCAACCATGATTTGTTTTCTGTCCGTTGTTGTTAAAAGAATCCAGAAAATTCTTTGGGACGTCAAGCCATGTGGTCTGCATGTGTGTCCGTGTCATATTGTTCATGTATGTGTGTCTTTCTTTGTGTTACATTGTATATGTGTGCGTATCTTTGTGTTGCATTGTGTATGTGTCATCATATTCGCTATACGCAACTCCACAAAGAAAAGCACGACTGCGCCAGACTGTTTCGTTGGACTTGTGAGTGTGTCCTTCTGTTATATTGTGCCTCTGTGTGTGTGTCTGCCATGGGCACCATCATCACCGTGCCACTACCACGCTCACCAGTCTCTCTCCCCTTGCCCCCCCCCGCAACTTCTTTCTCTTATCGCTAATTGTATTGCCGCTACCATTGTCGGCATCATCCACACCATCATCATCGTGGCACATCTCTCTCTCTCTCTCTCTCTCTCTCTCTCTCTCTCTCTCTCTCTCTCTCTCTCTCTCTCTCTCTCTCTCTCTCTCTCTCCCCCCCCCCCCCCCCCCCCCCCCCCCCCCCCCCCCCCCCCCCCCCCCCCCCCCCCCCCCCCCCCCCACCCCCACCTCCTCTTCTCTTCCCCCCCTCCTGACGCACGCGCGTGTGGCAAAGTTCATCTACTTGGTAGCCTAGCGTACAGTGCCCAGGAGATCATCTTCAGGCAGATTGTGACCTGATCATCAGTCGTAACTTCACGGGCTTAATCAGTTGCTGATACAATCATCAGGTTCATTAATCCTTACATGTGTGAGTGTGAACGCCAGTAGGAGACACACATGGTCCCAGCCAAGTTGAGAGTCCAATTGAGCCTCTCTTAAATTCTGCAGGCTCACATGCCGTCGATAAATAAATCGACGGTGGGCGGCCTCCGAAAGGGACCCACGGCCGATGCCTGGCATGTGCTGGTGGTTCAAGACATTACCTTGAAGCCTAGGGGCATATTCATACCGGAACTCTTTCCTCTGCATCTCCTTGCAATTGCCGTCAGACAAATCTAGGACAAGTCCAAGATATCGACATTTATATATTATCCAGTCAGTGCGGCGGTCACGGCTAAGTTGGGCGCTATAAAATTTAAGACTTCTCATTTTACGGGTACGGTACTAGTTTGCACATCGAAGTTAGAACTCGAAACTGTGTCTGGAGATCAGGGCTGCAACATCGAAATGCTGCAAACAAGGCTGTTTTAGAATCAGGTGGCCTCCCTGCTGACTGACCATCGTGTATTCTTCTTTTTGTGTGAGCCCCGTCGAGTTCTTCTTGATGGCTGCAAGATTGAAACCTGAAAAACCTGGAGCTCAAAGCGCTTCTTCTCCTAGTCTGCTGACTCTGTTCTGATCAATTAATCCTCGAGTTCCTTCATTGCTGCCTTTTCTTTTTCTGTTTGTTTTCTGATGATAGTTTGTAGGTTCGTAAGTTTACGGGTTCCTTGGTGGACCCCCTGTTTTCTCGCTTCTTTGAGTGGAGGATTGACACTGGAAACCCACCATCTCCTCTCTGGCAGAATCAGGGGCTTCGATTGCAGCTGCCGCTGCCATTAGTGCCAGCAGGCCACCGTCTGCATGCCCCACCAAGACAACAGACCGCAGTCCAAGCGACCGACAAAAGCTCATCAGCAGGTTCACTTGGGACTCCAGTCTGTACGGGTTGGGTCTTCCTGCCCGCTCCCACTCTGCACGCATTGGTCTCGACGTCAACCCAAACCCAGGCCGGTCGCATGCCACCACTGTGCACCCCAACTGTAATGAAAGAAGTGGCATGACATTCCTCCAGGAAAACACCCCACCACCGAAGCCATGGAGTAGCACCACACCAACGTCATCTGACCACTTCCTTCGTCCTTCAACATCTCCATTGCCGACTGGAAATGGGACACGGTCCCACTCCTCCACATGAACACCTGTGTATAGCACTGTGCCACTACCAGACAAGCTTTTAAGTAGCGGCTGACTCAAGCTATCACCGGTATCTGAACAGCTGTCCACTTGCCGTAGATTCAATCTGGAAGACGGTGCTGACTGCCTTCCACCCGAGAGAGAATGCGTTAACTTGGGTCCGCTCACACATGCATTCAAACAGTCCGCTAATGCGACTGAGCTCGATGAGGACACAAACGTCACAGCGGAACTGCAGCTGCCGATCGAACCCCCACGTCGACTTGGTGACAATGCGGAGTGCGGGCTGCCCACTCCTATCTTCTTGAAGTGGACAGAAATACCTTCACATTCCATAAACTCGCTGTCTGGATCAGCCAGCATCTGTGGGGGGAGATCCTTCTCATCGTCATTCTCATCACTTGATGGTTTTCCCTCCCCGTCAAACGAGGGTTTCCTTCCCTTCGCAGACCCTGGCGTCAGTGGTAGTTTCCAGTAATCTGATGATATCTGACCCGAGATGTCATCGTCAAGCCGTTGAAGGCGAAGCTTCCGTCTCGCACTAAATACTTCCCGATACGCAACCAGAATATGTAAAACTGCAAACATCATAGAATAGGTAAGCATTGCTGGTGCAAGCCACTTGCTCGGTTCGTATGACGATGATGGCGTCCCCTCTCCAGCAGACACGACAATGTCCCCGCTTGTTCCTGAGTAGTCAAACATGGCTGCCTTGATTGCAACAAAAAGAAGGGAAGCAGCTCCAAAACCAACAGAGGTAACCAAGTATGGGCCATGGCAGAAACTTGGCATTCCACATATGAAGTAAGCACCTGCGCGCACACCAGCACAGGATTTCCAGTTTAGTTCGAAAGAATCAAATGCATCAAAAACTATTTCCTGAAGCACGATATGATGATGTCATTAACACCTCCCAAACTAGGAAGATAATAATGACGGCCATTCATAATCCTACACCTGTCCATAATCAGAACACAAACCCAATTGTGTGCTTCCAGACCTAAAGCAAAGTCTCCTCTCAAACCTCATCAGCTGACAACAGTGAGACCTGGAGTTGTAGTACATTCACACAAATAAGATTATGCTCCAAACAGTGGTCACTGCGATTCATGCACACACCCACCCACCCACCCACTCATCCACCCACACAAAGAAACAGTCTGGAAACAGTCACGGTTTCTTTGTGGAGCTGTGTATAGCCAACACACACACACACACACACACACACACACACACACACACACACACACACACACACACACACACACACACACACGAGGCTATTTGCAGGCATGGTGTGAATGAAGACGACTACTGCTTTCAACGATATTGTTGACTTCGGGCAGGGCTTCTGTTTCACAGCTCTCGTCTATTTGTGCACTTTTTTCACGTGGTTCGTCTTTCTCACTTCCTTCCCATCATCCCATGATTATTCTTACGCTTAAAACTTTGCCTTCCCTTTTCCATGGTGACAATCCCCTCAATGAATCGGCCATACCCTGACACATTTCATTCACGTCAGGCCTGCACGATAGCCTTGAGAGACCTAACCGCATTCATATACAAGAACAAGCAATGAGACTCTGTCAAATGCAAACAGTCGAGAAATCCCTAACCGTTTAAAAAAAAGGGAGTGATCAGACACACGCCACGAGTTGCCAAAAGAAGAGAAAGAGACAGAGCAGCAGGCCCCATTGGATCATGGGCATGCATGCACGCAGGACAGACTAGACGTCAGTAGATGTTGATTAGTGACACATTATAGACCACAGTGACTCTGTCATCTCAGTACGTTGATTAATATAATAGGCTATTAATAGCACGTTTCCATCCGAATATATGGTGCATGGGTCAAAAGGATGGTAGTCAGAAGAGGAACTTACATATTGCTGCAAGGGACCGCACCACCGCCACGATCAAAATATCCGCGAGCGATGAGCGTATGGAATAGTTGCCCCAACCCTCAGACGGCGACAATGGCAAGCATGGGGGGCAGGGATTTGCAATCCGTAGCAAAATGCAAGGCAGGCCAACGTCAGCAATAGCTACAAGAAGTGGAAATGTTGAAGCAAGCCATGACACAAGGAGTACGATCATGACGAAGATGGTCCGCCAGGCCCTCACCGGTGCCTCCTTCAGAGTAACCCTCCATCTCCCACAGAGCCAACAGCGCGAGCAAGGCATCCCTCTTAGCTGCCACCGTCCGCGCTTCTAGGATGACAGCTTCTTGCACTCTTCCCCAACACCAAGAATCTGGCTTAATTTCCACCCAACAAAAACCTATATCCCGACTTTGTCTCTTACACCATTATTATACGTCACGGCGTGGCCACAAGAATCTCTCAGACAAAAAACCTGCGCCACATGCACCTGCTGCAAATCCAAATGACGATATCACAGAGAAAGATGCAATCGCCCACCAATTCTCCGTAAGTTTTCTTAGTTCTGAGTTTCGTGAACTTTCGTCTGAGGCTCCTACGTTTCGCTCAGTTCTTAACCTCGTGTGTGAACACGTCGTGCAGTTCTGTGGTCATGTGGACATGAAAATCCAAAAGTCCACAAGGGTATTTCTGCAAAAGTGGTGACTCTGAAGGACAACACTGAAATTGGGCCAGAGAGACGGGATGTGGGGTCTGGATTTCGTCTGAGGTTTCTACGTTTCTCTGAGTTTTTTAACCTCGTGTGCGAAGTTGCAAACACGTCGTGCAGTTCTGTGGTGGCCGTGTGTGAACGTGAAAATCCAAAAGTCCAGAAGGCTATTTCACTGTACTATTTCTGCAAAAAGTGGCAACTTTGAAGGACAACACTGAAATTGGGCCAGAGACACACAACGGGGGGTAGTTCTTCAAGGGACAACACTGAAATTGGGCCAGAGCGACACGATGGGGGGTAGTTCTTCGAGGGCAAACTCATAACTTGGATGGGTTGCAACTTCCCAGCCTTTCTTTTTTTTTTTTTTTCAAACTGACCTTTGATCTTATTCTGCCAATCTGGTTGAATGTGGGCTCAAGCACAGGTCCGTATTTCAACAATTCCTCGGTGACCAACTTGCATCGGGTACATCCGGGCCGGGAGGCGACTGGGGGTCTTCCCAGCAATTTGGCTGGCGGCCACTAGGGGTGTTTGCAGGATGTGCTGCTCCTGCACCAAACAACTATCTGGGGGCCTAGTCGTCTCCCGGCCCCCAGACATATCGAGAGTCTTCTTTACTGCATCGGGTACACCCGGGCCGGGAGACGACTGCCTGGCATTGCCATTACACGCGATCCGGATTCTCGAAGCTTGCTGGGAGTACCGAGCCTACTCCCAGCAAGCTTCCTAAATCCAGGGAGGATGGTATCAGCGGCTGAGTTCCACGATGGTGTCTCCCAGGTTGAAAACACACTCCAACTGAAGCGGCTTAGCTATGCCCATGCCGGCCAGCCTCCGTTCCTCAGAATCATACGTTCTCATTTAGTAAACATTCCATCACAAGAGGGGCAAAGTTTACCCAACAGCAAGACAGGAGATCTGCAGGGGCACATTTCCAAACAACTGACCTACTCAATGACCCTGCAAATCTTTTTTTTTAAGGGTTTTTTTTTTTTTTTTTTTTTTTTTTCCCCGACCCTGCAAATCTCCTGTCTTGCTGATAGATAACATTTTTTACCAGCCTTGCAAATTTGCAATGACATGTTCACTAAACAGGAACGTATTATTCAATAATAATATTATTCCGAGAGGACTGGAGCCATGAATTTGAAATTTGGGTTTGGCAGATTTTGACGGACTTTGCATGAAAGTGCACCTTTGCCTTGAAGTTGCTGTTTTTTTTTTTTTTCCCCTTCTTGAAGTTCTTGTTTTTTTTTTTTTTGCTACTAGTTAGTATGGTGTGCACTCTGCGTATGGGTGACATATTTCATTAAAAACTAATAAAAAGGCCTTTGGGTTTTCTCAGGAATGGCATGAGAACTTTCTGAAAATTCTGGCCTCCGTTAACCTTCTCTCACTGGAGGCTGGTCAAGCTAAGCAATGTAAGCATCTTATCAGTCGCTCAAACAACTGACCTTTTCAAATGAATGCTTCTGCTCATGGGAGAGAGGTGCAAAAGCACTTCTCTTCCAAATTTCAGACAGCAGATATGCATGTGGATTCGATTCCTGGATGCCCCTCTACAACGGGAGGAGACACCCGCCCTCTGCAGAATTCGCAACTTGCTTATTACCAAAAACTACCGTCTTCATCCGAAGAGAACGCCCGGTCATTATAGCGCATTTGGGCCGAGTTGCGGTCCAGATACACTGATAATGACCGGGCGGGTGAAGACGGTAGTGGTCGTCAATTATTATCCAATTGCTTTTTAATTGAAACTTCTCAACTGTCCCTACCATCGGACGGCGGCTTCCGAATTTGGTACTTGAAATGCATAAAGCTTTGAATTACAATCAGGTACGAAGCTAAGCATGATATCAAATTACACATACGCTAGACCCTTATAATCACAGAATCGCAAATCAGCGGCGGGATCGAGTCGAGTCCCGCTACAAGGAAGACTCTATCTGGCGGCTGACTTGGCAATATAATTGCAGAATCGTAGAACTCAAGTGGCCGTGGATGGTTCATGTTTCATGGCACCTCAAAGGTTGTGGTTTGCTCCACCATCCATGGACACTCGCTTGCGTTGTAACCCCCTGCAGCAGGGGGTTATAACTCAAGTGAGAGTACATGGATGGATGCGTTTAAGCCTCTGACACAAAGTATCTGACAATCGCGGTGGCAACGGCATTTACCCTCTACCAACCTGGAAAGGCGATCATCATCATCACTCGTCTCTCTTCCTCTCCTCGTAGCTATAGCGCTCGTAACAACTGGCTGCTGATTGCTTGTAAACTACAAGAAATGAAACCAACCATCACAAATACAATACAGAGGCAACAAAAACACTGCGGGCCGTCAATACAAATCGACAGCATCAACCCAAAAGATAGGAATCGAAATCAATTCCGCTGAGTTTCAGCAGCAGCATATTTACGTCGACTCCTACTTCCACTTTGCATACCGCACGTGAGCCTTCCCATGTCACATATTGTCAGCCAGACACGCAGCACGGGGCTGGCTGAGGCGGCTTGCGAGCACTGAAAAGCTGCTTCGCTTGTAGTGTCTGACATTCCTTCCTCTTCGGAGTGAGTCATCATTGTAAACTATGGCGAGCCTGTCGATGGACCAATGAGAATTTACAAAGATCATTTTGTTGAAGGGCCTTCCGATGGGCTTTCGCGTCATCGTAGGAACCATTTTTCATATTTATCTGATATGTTGGTCAGTACACGGGGTCATTTTACTTGAAGAGTCAAAGACACCACTTCTCGCCTCTTCATTCCAGTTTCCATACTCCGTACGTACAGTCTTGGCGAGCACCGATTATGACAACACGTCATTTTCATGCTCCAAACCTCATTCAATTACATTATGACCTTGCTCTTATTTGTCTTCCCTCGTCCATCATATACATACACTTATTTCTGTTCCCATTCTGCTTTCATCAATTGCAGAACGCCAAATACCACTGTTATTCATTCCTCTACTCCAAACCTCATTCATTACATGATCCTGCTCTTATTTGTCTTCCCTCATCCATCACAGACATACACTTATTTAAAGTTATTTTTCTTCCCAGACTTCAATTTCCTGCTACCAGCTTCCCCACAATGCACCAAAGTTCTCTAGCAGAGTACACAGCTGTGACTTACCCAATGCCCGGCCCGTGGATGCTAGAATTTATAGTAGTAGTCACAAGCATGGCCTCCAGCTGAGGGAGAAGAAAACAAAGCAAGGGGGGGAAGAGGGGGCTTGGGGGGGGGAAAGGCGGGGAGAAGCAAGGGATAACCATGGACATACGATGGCAGCTGTACTTCTGTGACAGGGGTCATTTACACATGGAGATATTGAGTTCAAATCAAGATCCATTAAGTATTGTAATAGTAGTAGTACATATTACATAATACTACAAAACTTAACAAAAGTAATATACTAATATCCAAAAGAGAAGAAGAAAAAAAGGGAAGAAAGAAAGAAAGGATCAGTCAACAGTGCACCTGCCTGGTGGGGGAATGGTGCACCCCCATTAATTTCTCATCCACACGATCACAGCTGAAATCATCTGGAGAGAAAGAGAAGCCGGCCGCTGCCGACCCTTTCTGAGATCCATACTATGCAGCAGTGCATGGTGACAGGACAGTCGGCAAGGAAGGCCTAAAAAAATTCAAAAAAAAAAAAAAAAAAAAAAAAAAATCGAAAATGTTCACTCAGCCAGCAATATAACCGAACTGAGGCAGCCATATCTTTAGTTTAATTAAACAGAGTAAGGAATTAAAAATACTGAAAGACTAAAAAATAGTTCACTGCCAGTCTGCCACCCATCTATCTTCCATCTTGCCGGCGTGAGAAGCTTCAAGGTACTTTTTTGTTTCTCTCAAATTCTTTCACTTAGGAACAAACATGTGCTATTTCACTTGCAAGTGTGTTTTCACTTCACAGGCGTGTCGGTGGAGCATGTGGTTAATTCGTTGCAACACGAAGAACCTTACCAGGGTTTGACATACTGTGAGTCCCTCTGAAAAGAGGGAGTGCCTTCGAGAACACGGATACAGGTGGTGCATGGCTGTTGTCAGCTCGTGTCGTGAGATGTTGGGTTAAGTCCCGCAACAAGCTATCACTGCAATAAGATCATGCTGCCACTCCTGCCCTCACATGAAACCTTGCAGATGTCAAAATCCAGTTCGTAACAACGCACTCAATCCAGCTACAGCCCAGATTACTACCTTTTTTTTTTGTTTTGTTTTTTTTTACCGAGCTCCTTACAATAAATTCAATGAGAAAAAGGACAGAACGGTTCGGGAGAAGAACTTTACCGGGAACAAGGAATGTGCTAAGAACAAATGAGGAACTTGGAAACAACTGCGAGCACGGAAAGCCCAAGGAAGACTCGCACTAGGAATAGGAGATGATATGCTGGGAGCAAGCCCATGTGATGAGGAAGATGACACAGACCAAGGAAACAAGAGGAGATATAAAGATCTCACCTGCAACAAACTCCAAAAATAGACAATGACCCCTGATGGTGAACAATGTCCCATAACTCCAATGGCAGCAGTGTAGCATGGGGTCCAATCCCGAGCAACAAGGAATCAGCTGTTGGGAGAACAAAATGAAGAAAGCCACACACAACCGCTACGTCAGCGGATGAGCAAAACAGTTCATTTATTTGTTTCCGGCACTTCTGGGAGCCTAAATAGATGAACACAATGCCAACGAATGCCTGACTGTTTTACATCCACAATACATGAACACAACAGACACAGAGAGAAGGCAGCAAGAGAGTGAGCACACACACATGCACACAAGAGTGTGTGTGTGTGTGTGTGTGTGTGTGTCCGTGCAAGAGAGAGAGAGAGAGAGGGACAGAGAGAGCAATGCAAAGGTCACACTGGCCCACGAGCAAGACCTCACCGAACCCATCTTCTGATGTCCTCGTCAACTTCCTTGTGCTCCTCCATATTCCAATCAACTCTTCCTGATGACCGAAATGAAATATGTTCACCTCTTCCCCTACTTTGCGACATATCCTCATTTTACTATCCTCCTGATAACCACAATGAACTATGTTTACCTCATCCCCTCCTTTCCGACATAACCTCATTCTCCACTTCCACCTTCACCTCCTCCTCCTACCCTGCCAAACACAGCACAAAATAGTTGAGCACACATACTCAGAGTTCTGATCCACAAACTCACTCTCTCTCTCTCTCTCTCTCTCTCTCTCTCTCTCTCTCTCTCTCTCTCTCTCTCTCTCTCTCAACTGTCGTGATGCCCGCGCCTCTGTAACGCCCTCACAGATGGGCATACTCTCACACATACTGGAAATTCTGTGGGCGTCGTTAGACACTCCTTTTGAAATCTTCGGGCAATAGCAAAAATTCCTAATGGTTCAAAAGGAAATTTGGGCGGTCATTCCACCTGTCCTCGGGGACGTCGCCCGAGGACATTACCTAAGAGCGATATCAGAAAAGAAAAATGAAAAGAAGAAAAGAAAAAAAACAGTTGTGCTTCAGGCCTTCAGCCAATAGGGTGCCGCCACGATCCAGATTCTCGGCTGTTACGTCTTTCTTCGCATGTGCCCTCTCCTTTCCGTGAAATGCGGATTCCTTGTGGCCAAGGGACCTCGCGAGGTGCCTTGGGCAATAGGAAGAAATGGCTGGGGAAAGTCCTATTGCCCAATGAGTTTCCTTACGAGCCTTTTCACTTCTTTTTTTTAATTGCATTCCCGAGGATAGGTGGAACGAACAATTCCTTGGGGATTTTGTGTCCCCGAGGAGTGTCTAACGAGCCCCTGTATCCAACTGCAATCATGTCCATAGTGCAGTTGCTTTCCTTTCCGTGTTTCTCCTACTTCGAAAGTGAATGCCGTGATGAAGCCGGAGTTTCTTTTTTTTTTTTTTTTTTGGCGAGAGTACCAGAAAAAAAAATGCAATGGAACTCGGGCTCCGCAAAACTCGGTGCGGAGTGAAATTCAGGGTCGTCAAAAACAGGATCGGAGGTAGTGGTGGTTTAATCTTGTGCTGGGGCTTGCCAGGACCTCGCCCAGAAGCTGAAGTGCAACAAATATCAAAACACCTGACGCCAAGTAAAGGCCGCAGTACGCTCCACGACTGCAATCAAGGCCCGAGAAACAGCCCTCGCTGCTCTTCTAAGAAAAAGGATGCCGCATGCAAGAGATCGGAAAGCGACCAGCTGCTGGCAAAACAGAGATAAACTTGTGTCGGTTCCAGGTGGCTCTGCGCGTGGGCACCTGCGATCCATGGACCCGTTCAAGGACGTCGAGTCCACATTCCCACAACCCCTGGAGCTATGAGGACACTGCCCTCCAAACACTAAACGCTAGATCAGGGACCTTAAGCGAGAACTGGTCCCATAACTATTTTGTCTAACCTCGTCTTTTTACCGAACTTGAATGTCCGAACCATCACAGGGTTCAAACCACCGACCGGTACGTTTCCCAGCTATTTTGTTCCGAAGTGGTACTGCCTCCTTTGGGGCTTGGCCTACCAAACGGAAAACGCTAAGCAAAAATTCATGATTTTGCCCTCGCACCCATTTGACAAAACTTGGCGCATTCCAGGAATCGGCATTGGAAAAAGAAAAAGAGGCTTTGGGCGTGCTGGTGGTTTGAGCAGACAAACGGACAGGACAGGTCCGCTGTTGCTATTCCTGCAACCGAACCCAAGGACACATTAGAAGCACGGCAATCAGACGACTGCTCGGGAATAACCTTAAGCCACCACTACCTTTTGCACACACTCTGGACACAACGCGGCCCCTCTTGAGCTGCTCCCACTGTACAGACAATCTTGTCCACGGAGAGGACAATCCGGCTGCCGCCACAGCTTCACTTCCAAAATGGGAAAAACTGACGAGCATGGGCCACCAGCAGAGCACAACTGCTACTCCTGCCTATTGGATGTACTGTCAACATGGCTGCGGTTTAAAACAAGGGAAAAAAAAAAAAAAAAAAAAAAAAAAAAAACACGGCGGCAATTCCACTAATCCTGCAATTTGAATGTAGGTTCCCAATCACATGGAGTTATATCGGCAGGCACATCTCAATGGCACTTTGCTGCTGCTGCTGCTGCTGCCACAAGTCAAACTATGCCCCACTCCCAGGTCCCACACTACCATGACTGCTTGTCCTTTTTTACTCAAACGGCCACGGATCGACCCTTGCTGCACAACTGCCGGACTCGGCTTTGTTCCGCAAAAGCCTCTTCAGTAGCTCCGACTCAACGGTACTGGCTTGTCCAGAAACAGCGCATTGGAGAGGAGATGAAAATGATTGGCCTGAATCTCCATTCAGGCTCAACTACTGGACCATCCATTTCCTTTGGCTGGCCTCCAGGAGAAGCAAAAACAGCTTTGGCAGCTTTTGCCTCAGGAGCGGCGGTGCTGACACCAAGTTAGTTTGAGTGAATGTTGCCATGAATGAGGCCACACTCAGGCTGCATAATCCGCTAAGGGTTCATCTCTGCTGTCCTATGTCTAGGTCCCAAGTTAGTTTGAGTGCATGTGGCCATGAATGAGGACACATTCAGGCTGCATTGGCGAGCACAAAGGATTGGCATCACACCATCCAGTAGGCGAGCACAAAGGATTGGCATCACACCATCCAGTAGGCGGCAGGCCCCACTGGTCCTATGTTCCTGCTTGGAAAGCACGAACCCGGCCAACATAGTGCTGCGTTCCTGCTGTCCTAGCGCCAACATGGCACTGCTGACGGCCTGGCCATAAGTGCCCACCAGCAGATATTTGCAAGCTGTCTTTCGCATGAAACCTGCCCGTCACAAAGTTAAGAGTAGGCCCCCACTGACCTGAATTCATGTCCACGACTTCAAATATGACCCCCTTTTTTTTATCTCCGGTTCTTTTTTGCAACCTGATATCAACAGCCACCACGTGCTCGCACTCGGACTTGTCTGGATCTATCTAACTGCAATTACCACATGAAGTGGGGTATTATCTGAATGCAATTACGTCCAGACTCCAAAGCTGAGTGGACAACGTCCTTATGTGAGTCTCATACCCTAAAAAGTTATTAAAAAAGTTATTAAAACACTCGCGTAAAAGGACCCCCCCCCACATATAGCCCAGCAGGTTCTCATTTATTTTTCCAACCCGCAGTGCACAACTCCTTCACTAAGTCATCTCTCTCCCCTCCTCCTCCTCCTTCCTCTCTCTCCTCTTCTTCTTCTTTCCTCTTCCTCCTCCTCCTCCGTTTCGTTGTCTTCTCGTCTACTGTTGAATGAAGTCGGTACAGTTTGCTCTACCTAATTGTTGCCAATACAAACAGCAGCACACAATCACTTTCTTTTTTTTTCTTCTTTTTGTGGTATTTCACTCATCTGCTTCCACTGGGGTTCAAACTCAGGTCTGTATTTCAAGAGTTCAGTTCAGTGGTGGTGTACACTCCTGAACTCTTGAAATACAGACCTGAGTTTGAAACCCAGTGGAAGCAATTTTGCAGTTGGTACACACAATTTCGCGCTAGGCCAGTTGGTGCACACAATTTCTTCACTGTGCCTCCTAAAGGCATTTTGAGCTTTATTGAAGCACAATTATTGCAAGACCTGTTGGTTGAATTTCTTAAAAACAAATAGAAAAACACCTGACGTCAGGGGTGGGAGCGGCGAGCGGCAACAGTGGCACCCCCTAGGCAGGCCAGGGCATGGCTAGGCTCCACCACCCCATATCACATGAACTAGAAAACAACTGAAAACGTGAACAAAAAAATTATGTGTAACTTATGATCCTCAACAACCATTGCCCTAGGAAAAGGGAGGGGGCGGGGAGGGGGGGAGTGAGTAGCCATACAAGATTTTTCCAGGAAAGACTAGAAATAAACAACTCGACTTCTCAAAACAGTAATAAAAAAAAAAAAGTGCAAACTAACTCACAATTTTGAATTTTCAGAGAGAAGCACTGTAGCATTGATGTACTACTAAAGGCATACTCGCACACGGGTATAAAAAAAACAGCAAAATTTGCCGTGTTTGTTACTCCCTGTTTTTCCATTTTTCTGCAGGGGTAGCAAATTGGAAAAGACAGCCCCGACACCATGCCATTTGCAAACATTCGCACTTGTGTGCGGCCACACAGCAGAAGTAGTCGAGGGATGCCCGCGATCCTCTTCAGCGAGCTCACGGATTCGGAAAAAAACTTAAAAAAAGAAAAATTGCTGACACCTCTAGAGGCAGGCGGTGGCAAATTGCTCAACCCCATGGTTGTGGCCCTAGAGGCCGCTGACTTTTGCCACACCAATTGTGAATTTGATGGGCAGGCGGGTGAAGTGTGACCGCAAATCTATAGCAACTTTTGCAATTTTGCTAAAAAAAACATCGAGTGTGAGCAGGCCCTAAGCGTGATGGTTGAACGGAACACACCACCGACTGTCAATCGTGAATATAACGAGTTCGAATTCCGACAAACTAAAAAATGTTAGGGTTAAAACCGACTCGAAAGAGAAGAGAAAACAAGTTAGAACTACCCGACTGTGTACAATCTAAAGATTCTAATTTCTAAACAATAAATTGGCTAAAA